CTTTTTAAATGTCTGTTCAGCGCTTTTGTCGTCCGGTTCCCCATCACTGATAGAGTCGTATCCGAAGTCTTTGTCCGACTTTTCCGAGTCTATCATCAATTGTATGAAATCTGTGCGACGTTTGGCTGTAAATGTAAAAATATAATCGTTTTAACATTTAATTATTATTTAGATTTTGTTTATATTACTTACAAACACTATTAGTTTTATGATTATTATGTAGTTTGCGTTCATCGATGATCTTTTTGGTCAAGTCGTCGAAATAACGACAGGCGCTCATATCGAAGGGTTCGGCGCCTATTAGCCGTCCCAACGCCGGGAACAGCGCCGACACAATGATACCAATGTTCGCGTCGACACTCAATATCTTGCGGGCGTTGAGTACCAGCGGATGGTTAGGGTTTTTGATGGACTCCACGTCTATGCCGTACGCGCACCGGGAGATCACGTCCATAGCGAAAGCCCCCACGTGTTTGCGTATGTCTATGGCTTCACCTAGGTTACATATTTAAACAATAAATTATTCTGTTACTATAAAATATTATTAATTCAATATATATACTACATTTCTAGAGTAAGTATTGTGCGCTAATTAATACTCAAAAATTAAACCATTTTTTACCATAACTTTTTATATTATTAAAAATTATAATACAGTTTATTTATAAATATAACTAAGATTGGTATAATTAATTATATTATTATAATTATCATTATAATTATAATAACTAAAATTAAATAATATGAAATTAAATTATAATTATATTATAATAAGGGCTCAATGAGTTACCCAGTATAATAAGTAATAATAAATAATTTAATTCTTTTTTATTATTTTAATAAACATTTACAGCTAATACTTAAAATGTAATTATCCCTTAATTAACTTTTATTAAACTAAAAAAGAAATAATTTGTACCTGATACTTCGTGTTGAGACAAACTTTGTATAAATCTGTCCGAAATCTCCGATATGTGAGCCATCATTGCCCGCAGTTTACCCGACGTGAACACCGGCGACAGTATAGAGCGCTGGCGTTTCCAATCGTCATTCCCGGGCATAAAAAACAGACTCTTATCCAGTTTAGACGTACCAAGGTGAAAGTCCAAGTGATGTGGCCATACGTGAAAGTCCTTGACAAATATATCCCTGAGCAAATCGGCGTCGTTGATGTTGATTACTTTTTGCGTGAAAGTGTACATGCCAAATATGCGGCCATATTTTTGTTGATACCCCGCATCTACTTCATGTACTGGTTGCATGACCTGGCGTAAGTCTACATAGTTTGGCCCTGGTACCCCATGTCTGGTCCAGTATGAGTAGTATCGTTTGAGATAACTATTTTTTGTAAAATATAAGTAATAATGTATTATATTATATTGATTGATTATAAATGTTATATAATTTTTAAATATGTGACATAAAAAATAATAATTTAATATATTATTTATTA